GACAGAGATAGGGTCTGGATCCAACCCAGCTTAGTCCAACTCCACTCCAGCCTCTCTGCTTTGTGGACCAGCAGGTACCTGCAGAATTCCTACAGCTGCTTAGATGGGGAGGGAAGGCTCTAGTCCAATGCCCAGCGGTGCAGACTGGTGTGTCAGTGTTCTTCTGACTTGTGCCTCATCTCCAGAAAGAATACCCTTGGTCCCTGTGTCTTTGTGGCAATCTTCTAAGAAGTTAACATTGAGGCACCTGGGTGGCTCAGTAACTCAGGGTCCAACTCTTGAGACTGGCTCAGGTCATACTCTCATGGGTCATGAGTTCAAGCCCTGAGTCAGGCTCTGTGCTGACAATGTGGAACCTGCTTGGGATTCTCTCTCTCTCTCTCTCTCTCTCTCTCTCTCTCTGCCCCTTCCTCAGTCATGCTGTCTCTGTCTCTCTTTCAAAATAAATACAGTTAAAAAATGAAAAGTTAACATTAATTGAGTACCTAGTATGTGTCAGTCACTGTATTAAGCACTTTACATACATGATCTTAGTTTCCTACCAGTAAAACTGAACAGAGGAAAAAACCAAGGCAGAGATGGGTGTGCTTTAGGTCAAGGCCCACGGTCACATCCCCTGCCCTCTGCAGGTGTCATCTCTTCTCAAGGTGAGGCCACTCCCTGCCAGCAGATGTCATGGAAGGCATTGGTCAAAAATTGTTGAGAAGGAGCAAACTCAACCCCAGCTCCAGGACACTGCCATGCAGAGATCTGGGGGACCACCCTGGGGCATCCCTGGGGGTTACCTGGGCAGGGTGGCCTCAGCCAGGAAGTTCTCCCAGGCTTTCTGGTCAGTCAGTAGGAGATGCAGTTCATCCCGGCTCATGGAGTCCCTGAAATACTCAATGGTGTCCTCAATAAAGCTTGAGCTCTCTAGATAGAAAAGAAAAAGAAAAAGGTTGTTTTGTTTTTTTCTTTTCCCTGCTTCATTAAGGGAGGGAGGAAACTGGGTTTTGCTGGACGGAACCCACAACACTAAGCTGTGTATTTATTGGGAGCCGGCCTAGGAAGGGTATTGAGATACATTGACTCAGGCCTTGCCCAGCTTTCATATCTGATAAGAAGATGCCAAATATGGAGACATAGGCAGGTGACCTAACACAGCCATGGCAGCCCGGGGCTGCTGGGGGAGGGAAGGTTTCTCCCTGGAGCTAACAGGGTCCATGTAGAGGGGACAGCAAAGAAACTCAGGTAGGCATATTGTGTAGGAGGCCCTGGCCCAGACCACACATGTGATATTTGATCCTCACAACAACATAAGGGAATACTCTCATTTTACAGGTGAGGGTAGGTAAGTCACCCGGCTCACACAGTTGGGAGGTGGCCACAGCCACACTGGGGTCCAGTTTAGTGGCCCACAGGTCACAGTGCAAGAACTGGAGGGAATGTCCTCCATCGGTAAAACCCCACAGTTGTTCTGAGCTGTGCTAGAGGCTGGGACAGGTCAGGAGGGTGGGAGAAGCCTCCGAGGTAGCTGGTCTACCTCCCACCCAGGCCCTGCCTCAGGACTCCTTCCTTCTCTCCTTTCCCTTCTGCTGCCCCCACCTCTTTGTGGGATGTCCTGGCCTCACTTCTGGGTCATTTGATAGGTGGCAGGGGGAGGGAGGAAGTGAGCATCTCAGCCATGAGCCTGAGGAGAGGACAACAGGGAGGGGCCCCTACAGACCCATGGAATAGAGACTCCCCTTGGTCCCCCTTGAAAGCTCGAGGACACTCATCAGTCCCCTTCAAGGGTCTGATTCGTCTGTAGGTTAACAAGGCTGCAGGGACTCCCCAATCCCAGGAATCGTCTGGAGTTGATACCTGGCGTTCCTTGCGTCATGTTGTCAGCAGTGGGATCTCAAGTTTTCCCAACAGCCTGCGTCTGCGTTCCAGTCCGAAAGAGTGTTGCTTCAGCCTTGGGAAAGACAGAACAAATTGTGGGGTCAAATGTGAGCCAGCTGTGGCCATGGGGAGCGGCAAGGGGCCAGGTCTCAGGTGGTTCCCTCTGGGAAGGCCACCCATGCCAACAGGGACGTAACCTGAGCTGTCTGTCTGTCTCCCAGCCTCTGTTGGCTGCTCCTTAGGGAAGGGTACTCTCCTCAGTACAGCTCACTCCCAAGCCAGGTCAGAGTCCTGCTGTCCTTCAGGGGCACAAGGAGAGGGTTATCAGACCAGGAGACTGCTATCTGAGAAGTTATAAAAGCAATGAAACCAAACACAGAAGATAAGATGGGAAGTAATGTTCTGGAAATTACTTGAGGTTGAGCACGTCTGTGTTTCTGAACTGATAGTAGCTAATGTTGATCAAGCATCTGTGAGGGGCAGGGCTCCTTACCTGTCTGCTCCCTGAATATTCACATACTCTCCATGCAGTGGGAGCTCTTGTGGCTCCCATTTATTGTGTTTTAAGCTTTATTTCTTTATTGAGAGAGAGACGGAGAAAGCACAAGTTGGGGAGGAGCAGAGAGAGTGACACAGAGAGAGAGAGAGAGAGAGAGAGAGAGAGCAAGAACCCTAAGTAAGCCCCACACCACCAGCACAGAGCCCGAACCATGAGATCATAACCTGAGCAGAAGTCAGATACTTAAGGGACTGAGTCTTGTGACTCCCATTTGAAAGTGGAGGAAAGCAGGATGCTTGGGTGGCTCAGTTAGTTAAGTTCAATTCTTGATTTTTGGCTCAGGTCATGATCTCAGGGTTCATGAGTTCAAGGCCCTCCTGAGCCTCTCTGCTGTCAGTGTGGAGCCTGCTTAGGATTCTCTCTCTTTCCTCTCTTACTGCCCCTCCCCTGTTCAATCTCTCTGTCTCTAAATGAACATTAAAAAAATAAGTAAAGTGGAAGAAACCATCACAAAGTTTAGCTTTTCACCTGAACTTAGGCTAGCTCAAGTTTTCACAATGGCGCTAATGTCAGGACTTGAACCCAAGTGTTTCTGATGCTTGTGATGACTGTACTCTACTCTCTTTAACATATAAAAGCATTACTCATGGGGCACCCAGGTGGCTCAGTAGGTTAAGCATCTGACTTCGCTTCAGGTCATGATCTCACAGATGGTGAGATCTACTGTCAGCATGGAGCCTACTTCGGATTCTGTGTCTCCCTCTCTCTCTGCCCCTCCCTGGCTTATGCGTATGCACTCTCCCTCCCTCTCTTGCTCATTCTCTCAAAAATGAATAAAACATTAAAATGAAATGGGATGGGGCGCCTGGGTGGCTTAGTCGGTTAAGCGTCCGACTTTCGCTTAGGTCATGATCTCGCGGTTCGTGGGTTCGAGCCCCGCGTCAGGCTC